GGGAAAGTGGATACAATTTAAGCATTAAATTAGATACATCGACAACTTAAATATATGAATTAAATCTAACGCATACTCAAAATTTATCTCGAGATTTCAAAACTAGGATGGCATTTGATCGGCTAGTCCATTCTTATTTATTTTTTTATAACATTTATAATCGGTTAATGTAAATAGTTATGAAATCGCGGTTAAAAGTTTGGTCAACATATATGAACCCTATATATATACATATCACGATGATTAGGGCCCATCATTGAGAATTCGCGAAGAGATGTTTGATCGTGACATGCCAATCATGGACATGCACATAATTTGCCAATTTGCAAGATTTAAAAGTAATGTCCGAACATTTGAAAACAAGAGAAAAAGGCTAACGTACAACGGATTTTGACGATTATATATAAGGAACGAAATATCATTAGCTAATCATCATTATTCAGATGCCGGTCAAAGATTATGATGCTAATATAAACATAATATTTCCAAAATAAACAAGTAAAAAAATAATTCCATGTGCTTTGTTGGTGGGTTCGAACGAAATAATGTAAATATACACCGTAGGAACAAATTTTAATAAATTTTATTCGTCGACTCATTATAAAACGTAAACATATCTAACGGGATATTTTAGCACGATACGCGGTCGTAACGGCACATGATTGTTACATGTGACGAGCATATTAGTACGTCGTTTGGTTGTGAAGTATACCATTTGTCACCATTAATGATATCAATTCATAGATATTAAATATTTTAAGAGACTGAGATTTCGGTCGATTTACGAATATTGTACGACAATATCATGGGTGTAGATACACCAAGATTTTATACATAGTCATAAACATTGGACATTAATTCATTATAAATGACAGAATCAACACCAATATTCAATAAATCGCGTCGCAGATATATAGAAAGAAAGCACATTGACATGTCAAGTTTGAACCCGGCATGACTGCCGTCACGTGGCCTCAACGAGTCAGGCCATAACTGCACATGCGACGACATGAAAACATATAACATCTGCAAACATACAAATACACATCCGCACATCGACATATATATATATGCATGTATATGTGTATGTTTGTCGAAAATAAACATGGTGCAGAAATTATGGGATAGCAAACCCCACTTCATTCTCAGGTCCATGCATGCATGAGGGTCATGTAGGCATGACTTTTGCTCTTTC